GCTCTACGAGGCCGTTTTTGCGATCGCAAATGCGATCGCAAAACGGTGCCCGTATAGGCGGGAAATCGCAGAACGAAGGTCGGTAAGCTGCTCGCTTACCGACCTTCGCTTTGCGACCCGCCGATCAGCTGTTCCGCGGCTTCAAAATGGCCGCCGGAACAGCCGAAAGGGGCTGGGGCGCAGCGTTTTCACACCCTTGGTAAGCAAGGGGAGCGCGCAAAAACGCTGCGGAAGCCCCGAAATGGGGTAAAATGGGGTAAAATCGCCAGCTTCTGTGAGTGTTTGGAGGCTTTGCAAGCTTCCAAACACTCCCAGAACCTGGAAGGCAGCAATTTCGCTGGCGCTGGCCCTGTGCGGGGGTGGGAGGAGCGTCGCAAGGGTCTGAGTGAGCTTTCCAGGACCCTTGCGACGCTCCCCCCACCTGGAAGCTTTCGATTTCGCCGGCGCTGGCCCCATGGGGGCTGGGGGAGCCTCGCAAGGGTCCTGGAAGGCTCACCCAGACCCTTGTGACGCACCCCCCCATGGGGCCAGTGACGACGAAATTGCTGCCTTCGCTCCATAAGATGCAGGGACTTCCCCCCCACACATTTTTTTGGGGGGGAGTGCGTCTTATGGAGCAAAAAATACGGTAGCTTATGAAAGACAAACCCAAATACCCAGGGGAAAAATATGATTCAGCTATATCTGAATTCTTAATTATGAATATGATGTAGAGAAATCCAGACTGCAATACACAGTAAATTAGATCAAATTTAAAAAGCTATCATGTACACCTTTCATAACACCAAACAAAGAGCCATGTTATCTTTTACTTTCCTACTGCGAGAGCACTATAAGTCACCTAATACTGAGATTTACTGTAAAACTATTGAAGGCTATTATTTTAACTGCACCCACCTTACTACTTGCAGTTTCAAAGAGCAATTACTCAGATACTACTATACTAAAGAATATTAACTTGCTGTATACTATAAAGCTGCAAATCTCCCAAGTCACCATACACCTTCATGTTTGTGCATGTATAAAAGCTTATTAATAGTATCTATATACCCGATAAAAATAACAGTGGAAAGCTCTTGCATTCATGCTCTGCTTATGAGCTTCCAAAGGTCTGTCTGTGTGCTCTTGGAAATGAAGGCTAGATTATATGAACCTTGATCTTATCTTGTAATTATGGTACAGGTTTATAGGTCCCTCTGTATACGAATGGACTCTGTGCTGTGACAAGTTGAACAGACTGCCAATGATACGACACCCGTAGTCACACTGGGATGCTTGGAACACTCCTCACATCCAAATAATTGAGTGAGTTTCTCAAGAACTGATAATGCTGACTATTAGGCACTGCTACAAAAAACACCATCACAATTGTCGTAAGCTTGTTTTTCTTCTGCACACGTATCTAGAAGTCTTCAGAAGTCTTGATTTGCCCTGAAGTGAAATGTATACTTTTGTCATAGGACAGGAACTGGGGCTTTGACCCAGGGCACCAATATAAAGAGGATGGTGAAATCTAGAGGTTAACATACCATTACATTTTAGGAAACTGAGTGGCAACATTCCTAGCACTATTTGCTTCCTTCTTTTTGTTTGAAATAAAAAAATTGTCTTTTTAAAATAGGGGTACACATTTTCTCCTTTTTCTTGGGATTTTTGCCCATGCTCCAAAAAGGAATAGATGGGAAATAGCCTTACTTGCCATGGGTGCCAAAATTGCTTGTTATGGCTCTGTTCACATGTCCAGATATGAAAGAAAGGATAGTCCCCAAAACATATAGGCATTCTTTCCCACACCTACTAAATACAGTTTATGTTTCCACTAGATCAGATTTCTATTTCTTTGTAGATTTTGGGGGGGATATTAAATATTTTAAAATATTTGACCAGCACCCATGGCTTGGGTACAAGACCATTAGGTCAAATCCTACTTGTTTTAACTGTGTGTACATGGCTATTGAATGCATAGTTTTTCTTTTTCTGGTATTTGTGCCTAGGGGTATCTACTTCCTTGCATACGTGGAACCTCCACTGCTTTGAATGAACTGATGCCACACTGTAAAACTGCAAGACGGAAATTAGATAGAGTGCTTTTTCCAAAAAGCCATTAAACTTCATGTTCCTCAAAAAGGATTCTAGGCTGTGTGACTCTTTGCAGAAGACTTCTGATATCAAGATTAAGAACATTCTTCTATAACAGCAGTTCTCAACCTTGGGCAATATAGGTGTTCTTGGACTTCAACTCCCAGAAACCCCACCCAGCATAGCTGGTAATGAAGGCTTCTAGGAATTGGAGTCCAAGAACACCTGTTCTACAACCTTGGTGAAAAGATATGCTACTACTGCAAATCATTACAAAATGCTGTGTGGTGGAGATGCTGAGACAGACTGTGAGACACTGGGTTGGGACGAAGCAGCAGCTGGGGAAGAAGAAGCTGTTGTGGGAGTCTGGGTGTCTGACAGGGTACTACTGTGTGTCAGATCAGAGT